TCTTGCACGGGATCCATGGGCTCTCCCGTCACCAGGTCTAAGCCGACCACGTTGCCCTCCGCGTGCTCATCTTGCAATGCAGCTAGAGCATCCTGAATGTCATGGCCAGAATTTGTAGCGAGGGTCTTCGGGATAATGAGTAGAGCATCTGCAAAGGCCGCAACGCCCCACTTGGCCTTGCCCTTGACGGATTTTCGAACCTCTTCGGAATTGAGATGTGCCGCAGCAGCGATTTGGAACGATCCAGCGCCAGGGACGACACAGCCGTCAACAATGGCGTTGTAGACACTTCGCAGCCCGTCTCGAACTGCGTCCGTGATCTGGGTGATGCTGTGTTGGTTGGGGCCTTTGATCAACAGTGTAACGGATTTAGGATCCTTGACTTCCTCGACAAAGGTGTACTTCTCCTCGCCCAGCGTTTGCTCGTACACCAGACCTGCCCAGCCAAGGACCGAAGGATCTAGATCATCCACACTGTTCTGTGCTTTACCACCACAAATGAGTTGTAGTCGCTCCATGTTCCGCCTCTTGGCCCGTCTCAGGGCAAGTATGCCATTCTTCACTAGTACGTCTAGACTCAGCGGATCGATGCCTTTCTGGTTGATTACCACGAACGACTTCTTTGGGTCTGACCCGCAAACTTCATTCTTTAGTGCAACAATCTTCTTCAATTTCTCATCCACAAACCGTCTCTCCGAAGCGACTAGTTTATCTCGTTGCTCGGCGCTGCTGTAGTAGAACCCTGAGTTGATTTCCGACTTTTCGTACTCCAGAGACACATTTAGGGTCAGGATGTAGGCATTTTCGACTCGTTTAGGCATATCAGGATGTCTGGCGCCGTGATCTAACACTAAGCCCCGGATCAAGGTTGTGTCCGACGCAAGTTTGTGTTGTAGTTTCATGATCTCAATCATGTGAAGATCGGGTTTCTGTGGTTTTCTTTGGATAGCAAGGACGGCATCGACTATTGAGGGGGTGAGTTTTGCGGCGAGGGTGGCGTTGATCTTGGTGGAAAGCGAGGTTTTCGCGATTGAGAGGAGGAGATCGCGGTCAATTTCGCGGGTGATCTTGAAGCTGTCGAGAAACTTGAGTGTCTCTGTTTTCGCGATCTCGTAGCCATCGGTAATGACTCGAGGGTGCAATCCTTCTTGGATATATCTGTCTGCCTGCTTGAGGAGTTCTCCGATCATCAATACCACGGAGGTAGTGCCGTCGCCTGTGATGTCGTCTTGGGCCGTAGCGGCTCTAGCGATGAGAGTTGCAGTGGGATTTTGGATTGACATCTCTTTCAGGAGAACTGCACCGTCTTTGGTGAGTTTGATTTGGCCAGAGCCGTCCACCAACATCTTGATGGTGCCCGAGGGGCCCAGATTCGACCGGAGTACATCTTGCAGGCCCTCACCAGCATTGATATTGACTCGAAGCGCCTCGCCTCTTCGTCTGCTCTCTGCTGTTCGGTTGAGGAGTTGTACGGCTGCATATCATCAGTGAGAGAGCTTCGAAGAGAACCAAAAGACCTACCAGACATCTTTGTTGAACTTAGTGCATATGCGATCGTGAACGGGTTGTAACATTATTTTGCACGAGCGTCGCGGATACACCAAGTGCATTGTTGCACCAGGCAAGTATCCCGAAGCCCCACTCAAAAAGCGCTAACCGTTCTTGAACTAGGCAGAGGTGATTCAAATGACTGCCTCCTCGTGGCTGCTGAGCTTCTCGCCAGTCAGTTCTTTGTTTGCTCTGCACCAATTTGCTTCACAAACGTGACAAAGTTGCCCAGTTCTACAGGAAAATGATCCTCTCGAGGCACAGGATTTGACAGCTTCTATTCTCTTTCAGCCTACTTTCTGGCAAAACAGCTAGTTGGTTGATGGCTAGGGAATCAGGCATCTCCGCCTTATCGACGGAATCTGGCCTTCGATACAAATGCGCAGCGACAACCGCTGCCCTGCATCCTGCTTGCGCTCGAACGGAATTCCTTGGTATTGGCCAAAGCCTGATACTTCAGCGCAGCATTCCCACTTATCCGTTTGATACCGCATTGCTTCAGCGACCAACTCCATACAGGCGGCAGACGGTGCTGTAGTGGACAATTGGGCTGCTAATGCATCCGTCCAAGTCCTTTCGAGGACCCGACATGGCTTTGCCATCCGAAGAGCAAGGATTTCTTCTGCTGACTAGTAGAAAGCGTAACTCCAGAAGGCCTTAAATGCCAGGTGAATGGAATTTTGGAGCTTTATACATCTCAGTGGCGCATGTACCTCTAGCCAGAGGTGCTGAGATCGAGACCTGGTACCTCGTAAGAAAATTGAGGGCCGACACAGTGGTAGAAGTTGATGTGGAACGGCTTGACAGGATTCCTCTAAAATCCGGCTGTTTCTTCGTATCATGTTTTACCGCCGAACTCCCACGCTTCAAGATCACTGCCGCGAACCAACAAGCCTCGTCCCCTTGCTCTGGCTCTTGCTTTCCAGCCTCGTAGCCTTGTGGGCTACAAATCGTACTGAGACCGAGCTAGAGCTAACTAAGTTAGCTTGCCAAGTTCTTTTCAACGAATCAGTGACGGGATCGCCCGAAGCACATCTTGAAGCTGCGGAGGAAATCTTCTGAGCCAAAATTTCGTCGGCTTCGCACCAGGTATTGCAGCGGCCTTAACGTGTCACCATATATGTACAGTATTCTTTGCTGGTTGGGTATTCGCATAACCTAGACTTGTCACGGCCGGCGCGCACGTTGCAGCTAGCTGCCACTTGTCAAGCACACGATCTTTCCCACTCCGCACGAATCGACACTTGAGCCATGGCCGAGTACCTCCTACACGAAGGCCCAATGGGGTACTCTATCTTCAAGGTCTCTCATCAGCCTGATACTGTCGGCAATCGCTTAAAGGAAGTACAAGACAGTGTGCAGGATCTCGCTCGGTTCGGCAAGATGGTCGACCTTGTCAGTTTCTTACCATTCGAGTACGCTGGCACCCCGCCGATATGCGCCAGCACTCTGTTAACGATGCATTAGGAGCGGAAAGCAAGCCCTCTCCGAACTCAACGACATATCTGAAGGCATCGCATCCGACTATCTCAAGTCCTTTCTCGAACTCAATCTGCCAAAGGCTGGAAAGAAAAACAAGGTCACACTGGGAGTCTCAGACAAGATTCTTGCAGGCAGCATCAAGGCTGTCTTCCCCAACGTAGAGTGCCAAACGGGCGACACTTCAGAAGTCGTACAGGATATGCTCCGAGGGCTTAGATTACACTCCGAGAAACTGCTGAAACAACTACGCGAAGGCGACACCGGAACTGCACAGCTCGGCTTAGGCCACGCATACTCCCGAGCTAAAGTCAAGTTCTCCGTACAGAAGAATGACAACCACATCATTCAAGCCATCGCAATCCTCGATCAACTCGACAAAGCCATCAACACATTTTCCATGCGAGTCCGTGAGTGGTACTCGTGGCATTTCCCTGAGCTCATCAAGATTGTATCGGAGAACCACAAGTATGCCAAAGTCGCACTGTTTGTCAAAGATAAGCGGACACTGTCCGCTGAAAGCTTGCACGACCTCGCCGCAGTCGTGGATGACGACGAGGAGATCGCAAAGAACATAATTGATGCAGCAAAGACAAGTATGGGGCAAGAAATCTCAGTTTCGGACATGGAGAATGTCACCACATTTGCAGAACGAGTGGTCAGCCTTGGTAACTACCGGAAGACTCTGCACAGCTACCTAGTCTCTAAGATGGGCGTGGTTGCACCAAACCTTGCCGCTCTTATTGGGGAAATTGTGGGCGCGCGCTTAATCTCTCATGCTGGCAGCCTGACGAATCTGTCAAAGTATCCTGCCTCGACCGTTCAGATCCTTGGAGCCGAGAAAGCGTTGTTCAGAGCGTTGAAGACCAAAGGCAACACACCGAAATATGGCCTCCTCTATCATTCATCATTTATTGGAAGAGCTGGTCAGAAGAACAAGGGAAGAATATCACGATTCCTCGCCAACAAGTGTTCGATCGCTTCAAGAATTGACAACTTCTCGGAAACACCGTCCACCGTCTTCGGTCAGGCTTTGAAGAAGCAAGTGGAGGAGAGGTTGGAGTTCTACTCATCCGGCGCACAACCCACCAAAAACGAGGTCGCTATGGTATGTCTGTTTGGCAGCTGATCTAGCTACTTGCTGACTGTATGAATAGAAAGATGCCATGGACAGAGTCCTTGCTGACATCGACATCGATGGCCTCGAACAGCCAGATACTCAGATGTTCGATGTGGAGCCGAAGTCGGTGCGGTCTCAGGAGAAGAAGGAGAAGGAGAAGAAGAAGGAGAAGAAGAAGGAAAAGAAGGAGCATTCTTCGAAGCCAGAAGATACTGACAAGAGTGAAAAGAAGGAGAAGAAGCGAAAAGCAAGTGAGCCCGACGATGAGCGAAGTGAGAAGAAAAAGAAGAAGTCCAAGTCCAAGGAATGATGGAATGTTAGGCAATGATTTCATGCACGGCGCTGGGGGTGGTGTCACTTTTCATTGTTGCTTGGAGACCATTGCTCCCTGCCTGTTATCGAAGACGCGGTCGACTTCATCTTCTCTGTCGATCATAGCCAGCACCACCGAAAAGTGTATGGAGCACGAAGACATCGGGCTGGCGAGTCCACTGGAGACTACGTCTTGTTTCATTTGTGGCTTGGGAAATGCTATGCCTCCACGGTTGTACGCCGTAGATAAGCCTCCAGATGGACGACCAATTTGACTGAGACGCGAGGAGATCACTACAGTGAGAGGTTCCTATCGCGGAACGGTCCTTCGGCCGAAGTTTCTGTATCACCTCAGAGTGCTGTCATCTAGTACGCTCTTTCTTCCTTGCCGACTATTGTCCCGCTACTTGGCCTCTCAAATATTACAGCGCAACCTACCCAGTCTGCCCCATCGTGGGAAAGCATTGCCCGGGCTTGACACCACACCCCGTAAAACCTTCTGCGTTCCAGCGTAATCGGAGACCCCACAATTCACATAGACATGAGCGCCACCTCGCCGAAGAGGAAACGAGGTCATACTTTGCCTCTCGACACAAAGGTCCTGACACCTCGATTGCTTGGAGACAGCGATCTAGAGGACCATGCCGAGAGTCCAAGAACAAAATTCGCTAGACAGTTTGACGACTTGGAAATTCATGGCAAACAAGAGAAGCAAAGTCAAGATGCTATTAACATCTCGGCTCATGGGATTGACGCCATATCGAAACATCCACATGAAGGAACTGTGAAGTTAGGCCCTCTCGCATCGCACTCAAGTGGGCGAGGACCAACAAGTCTATCAATGGCCACATCTGACTGTGAGCCCTCACCATCAATGTCGCCAGGAATCTCGCCTCGCTCAAAGTCCCCTCCACTTAGCAGCGGGCTATCAGACGAGTTTTGGCATGACTCCGAGATAACTGGCCATGATCCTAATGATCCCGACGACGATGGCTATGGCATCAACGGGATCGGCTTCAAACCTACAGCGGCCATTGCTTGGACGAGGTCACAGCAACGGAAACGACAACTCACCGAGTGGAAAAATCGAGAGGCTCGAGAAGCAAGACAGCAAAGGAGTGAGAGGAGAAAGCGTCTTTTCGACGACGGCGAGGCAGCACCATCCATGGAGTCTTCCCCTCGGAAGGCCGTTCGCGTCCACTTCGAAGATGGTTAACTCCGCCACCTCATGCCCCAGGCTATATCAGTAGCCAGGCAGTATGCATGCCCAGGATCCAAGCCCCACCGCTCCAATCCTCATATCCATTCGACGCCTCGCCATGCAGGTAACCGATGTGGAAGACACATTTGCCATCACCAGAATTTATACCATTGCTGCTTTCTCCTCCGCTCCTCCTCCTCGGCCTTCGCGGCTGTCGCCGCTCGAGCAGCCTCTTCCGCAGCCGATTTTTCACGAGCTTTCTTTTCATGTAGCATCTTCATGCCCTGAACAGCAAGGGCCATCCCTCGGGCTTCCTCTCTGCGCCTGTGGTCACACCAATAGTACATTCCGGAAGCTGACAGAACGAAGCCAGCAACGGCGAAATTGGCGGTCGTCAACATGGAGGAAAGGCCTGTCACTAGTTAATTCAGGGGTTCAGCAACCATATCCGAGAACAAGAACAGCACCTTTCAGAATGAATCTCAGACCACCCACTGCCCCCCCTGCTCCCATGCCGACCAACAATGAATCTCTTGCGCATGGAGCCTGATACCACGCATAGCCATTCCCTTCATGCTTAAAGCTGAAAGCATCTTTCCAAGTCACGTCTGCAGGCCTTCCGCCGGCTGAGTTGTATGTTCCTCCGGGCAGTGCATTTGCCGGTTCTGCAGGATTGCCCAGTACCTCCCACATCTTTCCAGCCTGAGTCTTTGGAAAGTCATGTCTGGGTTTCGGTCGCCTAATTGAGCGCGTATCTGCTTGATCCTGGTCCTCTCTATGGCCAGTATCGGCCTGCCGTGTGTCGTCCGCCATGCTGAATGAACGCCGCCGAGAACGGGTGCTTTAGAAGAAGCTGCGGAGAAATCTCGTGGTGGAGTTGATTACCATCATTTGGTGCATGGATGATCCACCGAAGCGCAACGCGTCTTAATTGAGACGCGTGAACGCCAACCGCGTCCGCTGCCGACTTAGAAATCCACCTTGACCAGCATTTCATGATCACGAAGCTCTCGACAGGGCAAAGACTATACAGCATGCATAGACATCCACGATAGGCTCTGTGACTCATATTACTCGATATCTCAACGCCCGGCTCCCGCAGCAATGCCGGTCCGCAAGCCCTCGCGCTATGGCTCAAATGTGAAATTCAACAAGAATGCCCCACGGAAACGAACGAAAACAGTCGATGCTTCCTCGCTGCGCGCCACTGAAGGAACCTCCCAAGATGAGAAGATCCAGGCAATTCGCCATGCCAACAGCATCGATGAGGCCATGGGCTTTCCCCGGTACGACTCCGGAAAGAAAAGAGTTGGCTGGCTTTATAACATGCACAGCACCTCTATTGAGGACTCAAAAACACCTGGGGGCCGCGCAGGTGTCGATTTCTACTTCATCGGTGACGACGGAGAGAACTTCAAAGCGGCTGTCGAGTACGATCCATATTTCTTGCTGGCTGTCAAGCGCGGGAGAGAAGCCGAAGTGGAAGAATGGTGTAAGAGAATGTTCGAGGGGCTTGTCAAGACTGTGAATCGGGTCACCAAGGAAGACTTACAGATGCCAAATCACCTCCTTGGCTACAAACGAACATTCCTGCAGCTCACCTTCGCGAACGTGTCCGATTTGTTGGCCGTTCGCCGGACAGTGATGCCCATTGCAGAGAAGAATAGAGAGAAGGTCAACGCAATGGACACATATGCAGAGGTGGCGAGTGCTACGACTGGCTTTGATGTCTACGATGAAGAGCAGGCCTACGACACTAGACCGAACACGATTGCCGACGCCAGCGACCACATTGTGGATATCCGAGAGTATGACGTCCCCTACCACGTCCGTGTCACAATTGACAAGGACATCCGAATCGGAAAATGGTACACGGTCGAAGCTAAGCACGGTGCGGTCACCCTGACGTGTCTCGAAGAACGCTTGACACGCGCGGATCCTGTTGTACTTGCCTTCGACATTGAAACGACGAAATTACCTCTGAAATTCCCAGACCAGCTCATTGACCAGATCATGATGATTTCATACATGATCGATGGGCAGGGTTTTCTCATCACAAACAGGGAGATCGTATCAGAAGATATTGCGGACTTCGACTATACGCCGAAAGCAGAGTATGAAGGGCCTTTTATGATATTCAACGAACCCAACGAACGCGCCGTCATTGAGCGATTTTTCTCGCACATCAAGGAAGCTCGACCTACTGTCATTGCAACGTACAACGGAGACTTTTTCGACTGGCCTTTTGTGGAAGCCAGAGCTAGCGTCAATGGGATCGACATGTACGCCGAGATCGGGTTCCGGAAAAACAGCGAGGACATCTACCAAAGCGACTACTGTGTTCATATGGATTGCTTCGCTTGGGTCAACAGAGACAGCTACCTGCCTCAGGGGAGTCGAGGCCTAAAAGCCGTCACGGTCGCCAAACTTGGATACGATCCCGATGAACTCGACCCCGAGCTAATGACACGTTATGCCAGTGAGCGCCCTCAGATCCTTGCAGAATATTCTGTTTCCGACGCTGTGGCCACCTACTATCTGTACATGAAATACGTCCATCCTTTCATTTTCTCGCTGTGCACAATTCTACCTTTGAGCCCTGATGACACCCTGCGGAAGGGCACTGGCACGCTATGCGAGATGCTTCTGATGGTGCAGGCGTACCAAAAGAGCATCGTCTTGCCGAACAAGCACAAAGAACCACGGGAAGCTTTCTGGGAGGGTCACCTCCTGGAGTCAGAAACATACGTCGGCGGACACGTGGAGAGCATTGAAGCTGGGGTCTTTCGAGCCGACATACCGGTCAACTTTGCCATCGACACTACCGCCGTTGATGAGCTTATTCGCGATCTCGATGCAGCCTTGCAGTTTTGCATCACTGTTGAAGAAAAAAAATCACTTGAAGACGTTACGAATTATGATGAAGTACGAGCACAGATTCTTGAGAAGTTAAATAACCTGAAGCATACACCAAACAGAAATGAACGACCCCTTATCTACCACTTGGACGTGGCGTCCATGTACCCTAATATCATGACAACGAATCGACTTCAGCCTGACTCCATGATCTCAGAATCTGACTGCGCTGCTTGCGACTTCAACCGGCCTGGGAAGACATGCGATCGACGCTTACCGTGGGCATGGAGAGGCGAATTCTTGCCCACCAAACGAGACGAGTACAACATGATCCGCCGGGCAGTGGCGAATGAGACTTTTCCAGGCAGAGGCCCCAGAGCGCCGAGGCGGACATTCCAAGAATTGACTTTGGATGAGCAAGCCGCCATGGTACGGAAACGGTTGCAGGAATACTCGAAAAAGATATACCACAAGATCCACGACTCAAAGACCATCGAACGAGAAGCTATCATCTGCCAACGAGAAAATCCCTTCTATGTCGACACCGTCCGGGACTTCCGGGACCGCCGTTACGACTTCAAGGGCAAACAGAAAGTCTGGAAAGGCAAGACCGAGGCACTGAAGTCATCGGGAGCTCCTTCGCATGAGGTCGAGGAAGCCAAGAAGATGATCGTGCTTTTCGACTCCCTACAGCTGGCTCACAAGGTCATCCTTAACTCTTTCTATGGCTACGTTATGCGAAAAGGCTCCAGGTGGTACTCCATGGAAATGGCGGGCGTCACTTGTCTCACAGGAGCGCACATCATTCAAATGGCTCGAGAGCTCGTCGAGCGAATTGGGCGACCATTGGAACTGGACACTGATGGTATCTGGTGCATGCTTCCAGCTACTTTTCCCGAGAACGTGGTTTTCACGTTGAAGAACGGTAAAAAGATGGCAATCTCATATCCTTGCGTGATGCTTAATCACTTGGTGCATGCACAATATACCAACCACCAATATCAGACACTTGTCGATCCAACCAGGTTCAAGTATGAGACGCACAGCGACAACTCCATTTTCTTCGAGGTCGACGGCCCGTACAAAGCCATGATCCTCCCGACATCAAAGGAGGAGGACAAGAATCTGAAGAAACGGTATGCTGTTTTCAACCACGATGGCAGCCTTGCAGAATTGAAAGGGTTTGAGGTCAAGCGACGAGGTGAACTGAAGCTTATCAAGATCTTCCAAACCCAGATATTCAAATTCTTCCTGGAAGGGACTACCTTGGCAGAAACGTACGCAGCTGTGGCCCGAGTCGCTAACCGTTGGCTTGATGTTCTGCATTCCCACGGATCCACACTTGCGGACGAGGAATTGATCGACTTGATTTGCGAGAACAAAAGCATGGCCAAGACCCTGGAGGAGTATGGGGCACAGAAGTCCACGTCCATCACGACTGCGAAACGCTTAGCCGAGTTTCTAGGGGACCAGATGATCAAGGACAAAGGTCTGAACTGCAAGTACATCATCTCAGCGAAGCCCCGGAATACTCCTGTGACGGAACGGGCCATTCCCGTCGCAATCTTCTCAGCCGATGATGGCGTCAAACGATTCTTTCTGCGGAAGTGGCTGAAGGACGACCCTGCGGACATGGACCCAAGAACCGTCATTGACTGGGACTACTACCTCGAGCGTCTTGGTTCTGTCATTCAGAAGCTCATCACGATCCCTGCTGCTTTGCAAAAGATCAGAAACCCTGTCCCTCGTGTTTCCCACCCCGATTGGTTGCAGAAACGAATCACAGCAAAGGACGACAAATTCAAACAGAAGAAGATTAATGATCTTTTCGAAAAGCGCCCACTTGCTGAGCGGTCAGTCAATCTGCTGGACCACCGCTTGCCCGCGACTGGAGATATTGAAGACGCCCTGAGTTCTCAGCTAAAGTCACCCACACATCCGCTTAAGCCTGCAAAGCGGAAAGCTGAGGAATCGGCAAATCAGCCTCTCGTGGATCCTCTTGCATCTCTTGCGTCGCATTCCTCAGCTATTGATGAAGACTATGGTGGGTGGCTCCAACATCAGAAGAAGAAGTGGAAGTTACAGAAGCAAGCCAGGGCCCGCCGGCGTCAATTGTATGGGGAGAGGCCAAACGTGGCCGGTGACTCTATCGGCAGCTTTTTCCGCAACCAAGCCGAGATGATGTATATCAACACATGGCATATTCTCCAGCTGCGTCAAGGAGATGCGCCGGGTGAAGTGACGGCTTTCGTCCTCATCGGCAAAAAGATCCAGCCGTTAACCATCAAGGTGCCCCGGACACTGTATCTCAATCTGAAGGGTGAAGACCTCCCCAACGTGGAAATACCAGGGTGTGATGTTGAAAAAGTCAATCACGCACTGCCCAACGGTCATCAGTCGGTGCACTTGTTTCAGTTGACAATGTCCGAAGACACCTATTTGCGCGAAGCGGAGTTGGTGTCCTTGTTGTGCAATCATCCCAGTGTCGAAGGCGTCTATGAGCGGCAGCTTCCTCTGTTCATGCGTGCACTCCTGAAACTGGGAAATATGTGCACGTTTGATGACAATCAGAAAGGTGTTCTCGGAACAGGTCTTGAGCAAGGCTTCGACCTATCGGCACTCCTCAGAGGTGATGCACAGTCTACCTACCTGGAAGACGCAGTCTCTTTAGGCTATATCTACCTGTACCACGTCGCAGTGGGGGACAGACATGTTTTTGCACTATTCTCGACAACCAAGCCAGAAGCACACCTTATTGTCCTGAGCAGGGGTCGAGACGCTCAGCTTCCCAACGCCGACAAGATTTATGCTGAAAACTACCGTCAAAAACTTCAAGTCGACGGCTTGGTTGAAAGCGTCTTCGGGTATCAGCCCAGCATCAGCTTCAAGGTGTCCCAAGTGGCAACAAAAAGAAAAGCACATCTTGAGCTGGCCGACATCTTGAAGAAATGGCGCTCGGAGGCGACGAAGCCGACAATCCTACTCTTACAGACGGCCTCACACAACCAATTGGTGCATGATGTTCGAATCATGAGGGATTTCCCAATACTGTACTTGCCCACCGAACAAGCCGACGTGGATCTACCTACATTGGGCTGGCAGGGCCATGCCTTTAAACAGGTAATGACCCATTATCTCAATGTATCTGGCTGGTTGACGCATCTCATCGAGCTTGCGCGATACGGTGACGTGCCGCTGTGCAATCTTGAGAAGGACGATCCTCGTTTCCTCATCGATTTGGCCTACGCTAGGCGGTTGAAGAGAAGCAATGTAGTGCTGTGGTGGTCTGACCAGCCTCGTCCCGATCATGCCGGCCACGAATGTGACGACATCTTAGGCCCGCTGACCGAGGTGGTCGAGATGCCCTCCATCAACAATCCTGGTGCCTACACTTCCGTTTGTGTCGATATCTCGGTCCAGAACTTGGCGATCAACACCATCCTGACCTCATCCATCATCAACGAGCTTGAGGGCTCGGCGGAGTCCATTGCGTTCAATCCGGCAGCTGATGAAGAGAACCCGCTGGATTCGAACGTGGGCAAACCCAATGGTGGTTTTGCACAAGCTGCGCTGGAAGTCCTTCGCGAAATGGTCAAGTCATGGTGGGCAGAAGCTTGTCGTGGCAACAGACTTGCGGATGTGATGGTGCAACATCTGGTCAGATGGGTGGAGGCACCAGCTTCATGTCTTTACGACCGGCACCTCCACTATTACATTCAGATGATGTCCAAAAAGGCTATGCAGCAACTCATCACCGACTTCCGCCGAGTCGGCTCAAATGTGGTTTTTGCGAGTCCGACACGACTGCTTCTGCAGACATCCAAGCAGGAGGTTGAGAATGCTTACGCGTATTCGCAGTACATCCTGAAGTCCATCCAACAAAAGCCTCTCTTCCACTTTCTCGGGCTGGAGGTCAAGGACTACTGGGACATTTTGCTCTGGTACGATGCATACAATTACGGCGGTAAAGGCACTTCGACAGTGACAGAAGAAACGAACAGCTCCAGCCTAGAGACTGTGGTCCATTGGCAGCTCTCACAATTCCTGCCCGTGTCACTGCAGCCCATTTTCGATGACTGGGTGATCATCTTCATTGAATTGATGCAGAAACTGAAGAGACCACCGGCTGATGGTACTCCGTTCACGCCTCGGACCACACAATTGCCCTCTGGCTTTATCAGCTTGACCGAAGATCCCACCAGCACAGAGGTAACAACAGTTCTGCAGGACGACTTCTCCAGGCCGCTGAAGAAGCAGATCACCAACCTTATCCGACGGCAACGCGAAGAGCTGCTTCATCCAGAACTCGCCAGCGACTGGACATTCCCTTCTCTCCCTGGCGGCACACTCGAATCCAGCGATCCACGGCATCCTCGTGACCCTGTGCTGGAGCTGGTCAAGTCCCTCATGCAGATCATTTCCTTGTCGAAGCCTCTTCAACTCGAAGCGCGCTTGCTTCGGAAAGAGCTCCTTGCCCTCTTCGACGTCCGCGAGTTCAGTAAGGAAGCACGCTTCGAGAATCCCAGTGCGAATCTCCGCTTCGAAGGCCTCGTCTGCGACACATGCACTGCGACTAGAGATCTGGATCTGTGTCGTGACGAGGATATTTTGCCCAGTGTCAACGAAAGTGGTGAAGAAGTGAGCAATCGACCGTGGAGGTGCCACAGCTGTGGGACGGAGTTCAACAGGATCCTTCTTGAAGAAGAACTCATTGCAAGGATCCAAGCCATGCTGCTCCGGTGGCAGATGCAGGACATCAAATGCAAGAAATGTGGCGTACTGCAGAGTGACGATTCGTCCTTTGCGGATCATTGTTCATGTGGTGGACATTGGGTTGGTACGGTGGAGCTGGGAGATGTCAAGGACCAACTGCGCGTGACAGCACGAGTGGCACAGGCCTATGGCTTGAAGATGCTGACTGGTGTGATTGAAGGCGTCAAGACGATGTGCATGATTTCATGATCCACGGATGAGGGTGGTTACGGGGTGAGCTTAGCTGTTATGTGAAGCATAGCTAAGCTACAAAGCGCTGTTTCGGCGGAAATGTCTAGATGCAGCACTTGAACAACTGGATTTGATATGATACATCTGCCCACAGTATTTGAGTTGGTTGAGGACCACAGGCTCAATGCCAACCACTCTCCTAATCTTCGCCGACGCTCGAGACGGTTCGCGCTTCTCCTTCCAGGCTCTCCCCTTCACCCTTGCTAGTGTCAGGAGATATTCCCGTAAGGTCAGAATAGATGAGCAGCAGATATACTAAGCGGTTCACCATGTTGGGACCCTGCAGAAAGCCACGTAGTAAAGGACGTGCCGTTTGATGCAAGGCTGAAAATGACGGCGAGGCTGAGCGCCAAGTCGAATTCGTCCTTCGCAGGGCGGGGCGCGTCTCCTGCTTCTCTCTTTATCATCTTTCGTCCAGCGGCTTGACGCAGGACATCACGTTACAGGTATCTTTGACTGCTGCTTGCCATATATTGATTCTGCGCCTACTTCTTTCTCTGGTCTTTGTCTTTCTCCCGCGCAGAATTTGGTGCTGGGCGTCACCGGGCATGGAATACTTCGCGACGTAGCGAGTGACATTCCCTCACCCTCTGCTAATATACACCCACGTTTCTGCCGCCCATATCCTGCATCAGTCTTACCTCTCTTCTGTCTGGCTGCCCTCTCATAGCACTGTCACCATGGACAATCTTGCCCAGAAACCGACGCCGCAACAGCAGGCAAACCTGATCAGACCGGAGCAGGTCAACAAGTTGCCGCAGCTCAATCCGCAACAGAAACAACAGTTCTTCCAAGGGGTCACCAGGTACTGGGAGATCTTGAACACCACGCAGCCGACCGATCCTCAGTACCAAGAAGCACTGAAGAGGCTGCACAGCACCTCGCAGCAGTTGATGGCTGGCATGAAGCAGTGGCAGGTGCGGAAACAGATGCAACAGGCGGCACAACAACAAGCGGCGACGCAGAATCAGGCACAGACACAAGCTCAAGCCCAGGCACAAGCCCAGGCTCAGGCGCAAGCACCAAAACCCGCGGGTCAAGCTGTCCAAGGGCTCACAAACGCGGCATCCGGTCAGACTGGAGGTAGCGCCGTGCAATTCAGCCAACTCTTACCTGAGATCCAGCGCAAGGTCAACGAGCACCACTTCTACTATCCCCCAGCTATGAACAAGGGCACAGAACCTGCTGAAGTATGGTTGCGCGAGGCGAAGGCCAGGTTGGGCCAGGCGATGCAGAGACTCCAAGTTGCGAAACAGAAGAAGGCCGAGTTCCATAGAACAGCCCAACAACGACAGGCAGCGGGGAATCCGTTGACGCCAGAAGAGACCGCCGTGTACAACAACAAGATTGCCCAATGCGACCGAGCGGTGACTGAGAGCACTTCATTCATGAAGAAATTCAATGAACAGCAAGAACAGTTCCGAAACGCACAACCACAACACCAATTTTCGAAACAAGGCACAGCTGGAGCCGAAGGGACAGACACGACCGCCGCACCTCATATGCCACCCGGCGTCCAAGGGCCCACTGCGCATTCGATCAGCAGCGCTGTTTCTGCCGCACGTAACCAAGCCAGCGCTGCTCAAGCAAGCAGCCCGACCGCACTTGCACCCACCGCTAGCCAGAGCGCAGGTGCAGTCACTCAGCAGACGCCTTTATCTGCGACACAAACGCAGTTCCCTCAACCCCAGGGAGACACCTCTGCCGCACCTCGTCCCGTATCACATCACGGTCAACCCATGCCTCCTCTCCAACACGCGCCGTCTTCTGGCGTGCATCCTCACCCGCTCAACACCGGCATCAACGGCGTTAAGACCGCAACTCCGCACATTACTAAGAATCTACAGCTGCCGGATCCGAAACCGGTGCAGATGCCTCCGTCCCGGCCAACCTTGACTGGTGGTGCTGGTGTAGGCTTGCCGGGGCAGCTCGCACAACCCGCCATCACAGCACTACCTGGCTACGTGTTGGAGTCCAGCGAAGACGGGAGGGTGCTGTCTAAGAAGAAGTTGAACGAGCTGGTGCGTGAGGTTTGCGGCCCCGGTCCGGAGGAGCAGCTTGATCCCGAAGCCGAGGAAGTAAGTGATTCTTGTTCCGTGGCCATAGCCTGGTGACCTAATGTATGCCAGATTTTCCTTGCCATTGCCGACGACTTCGTGGACGAGCTGGTTTCCCAGTCCTGTAAGCTCGCAAAGCTGCGTGGCTCGGCGAGTCTGGAACTCCGCGACATCCAAATTGTCCTTGAACGGCAATACAACATCCGTGTACCGGGCATCTCCACCGACGAAATTCGCACTGTTCGGCGACCACAGCCTGCTCCTGGCTGGGCTCACAAGATGGGCGCAGTCCAAGCAGCGAAGCTGACGGGAGGGGGCAGTGCCGCCGTCACGACAGGCACAAACACAAAGGAGGCTTGACCTGTACCATCATGACACGGCGCTACTATTACGAAGCACTTGATACTGCTGGGCGTTGGGGATGTGCACGCTTAAGGGTGGAGCTGAACGACAGACATGAGCATATGGCGCGCGGCATGGTATCAGCGGGAGGCGGCCTTGATTCATTGCGAGCAGTCCACGATATCCCAAGTCATAGATTGAAACACATCCGTTGGTGGCACCGGATCTCGACAGACACAATTACCAAAGTTCAGGAGGGGCTGTAGTTCTTGACTCCCACTAATCGCCTCCTTCAGATCTTGCGCACGATTTTCTCTAGCGTAACCGGTGAGCCTCCAGTCGAATGCTGCACGCGACTGCATTCATCTGGCTGACACTCGGCTTGCCGGAGCCTGATGCCTCTGCAAGCGCAGACGATCCTCCCTGCCGTGTGCGAAAAGTGCCGAGCATCTGCCCAACTCTCTCGTGCTCGTGAGAAGGTGGAAAGATTGAAGAGGCTGGGGGCATTTGCTTTGCATGCCCAAGAGCCAGTCGTGCCACTCAAACTTGCCGTGGACAGCGACGTCATCAGCGGCCCAACTCACTGCCACCCACACTACACAGCAGACTCCCATTTCCCACCCTCAGTGTCTCGGCGTAACCTTGTCGCATCTTGCCCCTGCTGCCCGCTCTGTGGCAGTCTTCATATTGATCATCTCCGGGTCTTTGGGAGAGACAGTCGCTTGTCACACCTGCCACGACTTCGGCCAGAAAAGCATCGAACGTGATCTGACGAATTCAGCCTTACTGCCCCTCCGGTCCCAAACCTTACTTCACAAAGTCTCTCGCCCCATTCGAGGGCGTCAATCTAAACAGATCGGCACCGTGACCATGTCTCGATATCGTGGCGATCCTCGATACTCTGACGGCAACCTTGCCTACCGCGATCCTCCTCCACAGCGCTGGGACACTGAGCGCTTCGCTCGGGAGCGAGAAGTCCGTGCTCCTGCTCCTCCGGCTCCTGACTACCCTCCTCGCCGCGCTCCCGTCTACGAAGAACAGCGCTACTACGAGGAAGACCGGTATGGCCCTCGAGGAGCCACCGAGCGCCGGTATTTCGAGGAGACCGACTACTATGATCCCCGCGCGCAACGTGGTCAGATGGTGCCCTACTCTCCAGAGAGGCCAGCGAGACCGGATCCGATTCCCCGACCAGGCATCATCCGGCGACAATCCAGCTTGGATACTTTCGACCGCCGGCCAGCGAGACGATTTGACGACTACGACGAGCTCAACAGTTCGCGTCGAGCCCCTCCTCCCCGAGAATTGATCCCTGTCCGAGCGCCTTCACCCCGCCGATATCCGCGATACGATGAGAAGTACTACGATGAAGTCAGAGTCCAAGATCCAGATCATTACGGAGACGATGGCTTCCGCGAGTATCGCGAGCGCGAATGGGTGAGGGAACGAAAAAGGAACAGCCCGTCTCCTGACCGCCGCACGGTCAGAGAAGAAATCATCGAAGAACGTAAAGAAGAGATCATCGAAGAGAAGCCCTACCCACGGCGTGGCAAAACACGCATGCCGAAGAGACTGGTACACACGAAAGTGCTATTTGATCTAGGATACCCGTACTACGAAGAGGTAAGACACGTTACGTGGCGAGGACGTCCAAGACACTGACCGTATTAGGACGAACGTACCATCATCATCGAAAAGGCTCTTGGTCCTGACAACATTGACGAGGTCTTCACCAAGAGTAAGGAATACCGAGAGAGGGAAGGTCAGTACTATCCAGCGAATCCTTGAGACACATGCTGAAGGTCGCAGTTACCACGACTCGCCTGATCGAAGCTCCGCCAGTCGTGGCGTCCAATCCAGCACCCAGCATGCGAGCGCCCAGTGTCCACGGCGGTGATGTGGTGTTTGAGAAGATGGAGAAGGTCGAGAGGATCGAAACCGTTCCGATTGCAGATGCACCTCGATCGGTGCGCGATTGGGATGGCCTGTCCGTTAGGTCGCCGTCTCCCAAGGCACACCGATCACGCTCCCGGAGACGCTCCCGGCGCGGCTCTTCTCCAGGAGAGATTGTGAAGGAGACTGTGGTGGAGAAGAAGGAGGTTATCCGCGATGTTTCGCCTGCCCGAACACATCGCTCTCACGGCACGTCTCATCGTCGGGGTTCGTTCGACAGCGACGATGCCACCATCATCGAGCGAAGAGTCACCCGTGACGAGTTTGAAGATTCAAACTCGGTCCATGTCGGGCCTCTGGCCTTAGTGGTCGATCGCAAGCCTCAACGGAGCGAGCGCAACATCAAGGAAGAGATCCGCAGACTCGAGGCGGAGCGCCGAGAACTAAGGCGCGAAAGACGCTACGAGCGCGAGGGCGGCGAGATCGTCAAGATTGAACGTGTTCGCGAGCGGACACCATCCCCCCGCGGCGAGGTCATCATCGAGAGACGTGGCGAGGAAGTCTTGGAAGTCAAGAAGGACCGGAGAGGTAGGATGTCGCTGATCGTCAAATAAGCAACCCCGTCCTGATAATCGGCGTGGAACAGGTCGCTCACGCTCGGCAGCTCCGCCGCCGGGGCTCATCAAGGCCATGATGGCCACTCTGACCTGAGGGAGAATGGTCGATCACGCGACACATATTGTGTGGTCTCAAAGGTGGCGGACGACAGTACACACAGTCGCTTTGACCACTCGTCCACTGCAGCTGCCCGGAGTACACATTGGGATCATCTGCACAACGTCTTTACCGAAGGTGCTTGAAGTTAACGAGAGTATGGAGCAGATGGCCATCAGATGGAACATGGTTCACGAATTTCATGTGTACGTAGTGATGGACGAGTTGGATTCTCTGATGGATAGATTACAATGCACGATGCCCGTCTTGCCACTCTCCTCCCGGTCAATTAAGTCTCTTGTGACTACTCGTAGCATCACAAGGAGCAATCTGGCCCGATGTGCTTGCCTTGGGGTCCAGGCTCTTGTCGAGTTGATTGTTGCCTTGAGAAACATGGCGACATGTGAATGCACGGCGATTCCCCACGCCGGCCGCCGGTTCTTGTCAGCCAGACTGCAATTCATCTGTTACTTCTCTCCCTTCCACTCGAGGCTCTCAACACTGCATACCAGCTTCTCCTGACTGCTTACCGATCATCTGGTCAGCCTTGCATCGGTATTTCTTCGTCGTTGTCGAGACCCGACCCAAACATGGATAAGTTCGCTGCCTTTGGCAAGAACATTAGGTGCGCTTCAGCCAACGATCTACGGAAGCATTCATCACCATGCTAACACACGGGTCCTTACAGCTCGGCCTTCAATTCAACTGTCACCCCCTCCTTCCAGCGAAGCCAGCAGTATCTCAAGGAGCAATTTGGAAATGCCGAAGAGAAGGTCGGGCGAGCACTGTGTCTGCGCCCTGGAACCATCCGCTGACAGCGTATTGCTTTAGACTCAACTCCCAGCCGATTACACCGAACTCGAGAAACGAGTCGACGCCCTGAAGCAGGTTCATCAGAAGCTGCTCGATGTAACGTATGGGCCACATATCCGGCCAGCTCGAACCTCTGTTGACCCCTGCGCAGCAAGCAATACCAGAATGAAGCCTATGATTACCCACCCAACATCCGAGAATCATTCGGAGACCTGGGTCGAAGCATCTCGGACAAAGTGAGCTTGCTATCCAAGGCCTCCAATGCCACCGAGGCCGCGAATGCGTTCACAGCGCCCCCATCAGCCAAGCCGCAACCGAAGACGTTCAACCATGCCATCGCCCGCGCTTCTTTGGCCAGTTCCCATATGCTCAAGCAGGCCAACACGACCGGGGCGAGCGAAGATCCCTTGGCTGTGGCGCTCGAGCGGTATGCACTCGCGGAAGAGAAAGTGGGCGAAGCGCGACTGGCCCAGGATCAGGCCATTCAGTCACGATTCCTTGCAGGTTGGAGTACCACGTTGAACACGAACATTCAATTTGCGACAAAAGCCAGAAAGGCCGTCGAGAACAGCCGACTGTTGCTGGACAGCACCAAGGCGGCCAAGAAGAGTCAAGTCCAGGGTCGAGGTATGAATCCCGACGACGAGACGGCCATGAGCGAGGACGCGCGTGCGGAGATCGAAGCCAAGGAGGACGACTTTGTCTCGCAGGTCGAGGAGGCTCAAGGAGTTATGAAGAACGTAAGTTTACACATATTGCGGACAATTGCACAGGAACTAATGCTAGTAGGTCTTGGATACGCCGGAACCTCTCCGCAACCTGGCGGATTTGATTGCCGCACAGCTCGAATACCACAAGAAAGCATACGAGATCTTGTCTGAGCTGGCACCGGAGATTGATCAGCTTCAAGTCGAACAAGAAAGCAATTACCGCAAGAGTAGGGAGGGTGCGTAGGGTGCTGGGGGAGATTGTTCACGGGTGCTTTGGTGGTTTGCTTCTCCACGAATGGCTTTGCCGCAACGGTGGTGGGTTTGGGAGAAAATCGTGATATGTAGGACTTGGTAGATCCAATATCCTCATGCGGGCTTTCGCGTCCTCGAGCTGTCGAATGTAATATGAGCGGCAGACGTGCGTACCCAGTCGTGCCGATGGGAGGTGATCTGCTTCTTTGCCGGTTGCAGGCGCCGAAGTTGGCCCGAAACTGCACGTATCCATCATGCGAGTTGCTCGACTTGACCTTCACCTTCAACAACGGCCCGTGGACTTGGTGTAGACTGACTACGAATTCAACCACGACCGCACTGACGCTTCATTTCGCATACTTCCCTCTCCGCTGGACGTACCTCGACACCGCCCCTCGTGTGCGTGTCCTAAACCGAGCACCAACACCGACCGGAGCACCACCTCGTCCCCCAAGCGGAGCATCTATTACCCGCAGCCTCGACGGGGGCGCATTCACACACCAGCAATTGCTCTGCAACCATCTTGAATACACAGGTCGCTGAGCCGTGAAATCGAGGAGCACCGGGAAAAAGGGTATACAATATGGCAAACGGGTACGTTGACCTCCATTTCGAGGAGTCTCCGAACGCATCGCCTCACTCCCTCCTCATGGCACGAGGGTACCAGGGCCCTTGCTTGATACAGACACCCAATCAAAACAAGGTCGCGAGGTCGCAAGAACACAGGCAGGCACACAGACAAGGGCTAACCTCCGGCTCGTCATTACAGGTGGTCGATCCTCGTCGGCCTCGTCGTCATCGTCGCGTTGAGTGTTGGAGCGTGGTTCCTCAGTCCAAAGGGCGAGAATCAGACGATATGGCGAAGCACGCTCATCCTCAGTTTTGCCAGTTGTTACATCATGTGGGGTATGTGGTCCGAATTTCTTTACATGCTATGCTATGCCATGCCCATGCCCATGCACATGCCCATGCTGTTATTCTCTACGACCTCTGCGCCTTTTTCCCTCCTTCAGGCGAGCCCAGTCTTGCGCTTCTCAGGTGGCCGTCTCAATCTGATGCTTTTGGTTCGATCGAACTACGATGGCTGACTTCCTGGCACTTCAGCGATAACCTTCCTTGCACAATGGCATCCCCTGATCGAGCCGCGGATGTCCAAGTTGAGACCCGGTTACGCTGGGGGGAGTTGAAGTGTTCATCCTGGTGGGGATGCAATGGCGCAGAGCAAGCTTTCCTTTGACTTGTCGCTATCGGCAGGCAGACGGACTGGCAGACGGACGGGCAGACAGAGAGTATAGCGGCGGAACATGGCAGATCAATACGACAAGTTGAGCCGGGAACTGAAACCGGCGTTGCCGACCCCTGATCACAAGCCTGATCCTTAAGAGTCAAGCAGGAACGGTGCCGAAACGTGTTCTCCATACGGGCCTCGTGGCCTATTCTATTCTGTTCTACCCTATAGTCACAGTCATCGTCGTACTCAGGACGAACAAGTGGTCTGCACGAGGACGAGGACGAGTTTCTTTATAGGCTATCTTCATTGCATACTCTATATTCCACACTGTTTTGCCAGCCTCAACTCTTTACACGTCATGTGCTCTCGAGTCTACGCTTATACTCCGTTGACTCTGTTAGTACCTGAGGCCGGAAAGTACGGCCGAGTACAATATGCAGCTACTGGAGAGACGTCTTGTTTAGTTTTGACAAAGGCATGAGAATACAAAGACAAGGTACGATCATTAGAGAATCTCGTGTGTAGAGCGCAACGCAACGCAACGCATCGCATTGCCAAGTAGCCACGCACGGTACTAGATTAATGGGTTATGGGCATAGGAATGGATGGGGCGTCCGTCTATTTCAGCACGAGCTGCTCGAGGTACACAGAAGTCGATCAAGCAGTCGATCAAGCAGTCAGCCAGTCAGTCAGTCCGTCCATGACCGAGCCAGAGGGCATCGAGGCATATTGAGGGTTGGACGACATCCTGCAAGGTGTACTCCGTACACTACATATCGTACCTTGTCCAGTACAGCAGAGCCTGCCGAGTATCACTGTCATTGTCATCGTTACAGTATTGTCACTGGCACTGGTAATGCTCCTTCCAACGCATAGATACATACCTAATAACGTAGGCTGGTCCCGCCTGACCTCCTATCTTTTGCCTTCATAAGATAAGGACTGTACGGAAGCACTGGGCTCTGTTCAGAAGTTGAAGGTATAATCACGACTCCGTCTACTCGGCCCGAGTCCCCTTCAGCTCTACCTCTTCATCCCCAGGATTGCTCGAGGGGTGCTGCTCAGGGCGCTGCTCAGGGCGCTCCTCATCCTGCTGCTCATCCTCGGTTCTCTCCTCGACAGAGACTCGAATCTCATCGCGTTCCAGTTCGTCGCGGCTCGCATGGGTGTTCTCCTCCTGCTCCTGCACCTCAGCCGGCTCTTTCTGGGCCTCATCTTCTTTCCCGACGGTATCTACAGATTCAGGCGCTTTTGTCTGAACGGGGCTGAAACTCTCGTTCTCTTCCACGGTCTCGTCGGCCTCCTCACGTCCCTCCCCCCTTATTTCAGTCTTCACATCATCATCCCGCTCCCTGAATCTCTCAGCCTGCGCGACTCTGGGTGGATAATATTCTTCATCAGAGTCATCGATGTGCCCCATTATAGCCGCAAGGACATCATTGCCGGCCGTTCTTATCGAGCCACCAGAAGGAGATGTGATTGTGCGGCCTGCTTGCTCATCATCAAAAGGTTTGGTCACTCGTTCGACGGGAGTCTCGGGATGTGTTTTCATGGCTGCTTCATCCTTTAGGATTGTGCCAGCTTTCTCGTCGTCCCCTTTGGCCATGGATGAGGACGACTGTTGTTGTGCTCCTTGGTGGGTGGAAAGGGGATCGACGTCTTCCGTGTTACCAGTGGGTGTAGGATCTTCTGGCGCGCGAGGCTCGTATTTGGGCACCGTAGAGGCGATATCCAGCTTGGGTAATAGACGATCTGGCGAGGGATCATCTCCCGATTTCCTCGGCTGCGGTGAAATTGCCCTCTTCTCCTCTATTGATATCTTCAGCGATTCGGGACCGTCAATCAGTCCTAGCATACCGGGCACATTATTAGGCTTCGTCGAGATGGTACTCGTCGGCTGCTCCTCTTCGTCCTCTGCACCTTCGGCGATGGTGGCCACGTGGCTTCCTGTACTGGGAGTATGCTTGTGCCTACGTGTCGTTGCACCGGTACTGACCGTCGTCGATGCTACTGACGCAGCAGGTTCTCCTGACGACGTGGGCCCGCTGGATGGCTCCTCTGACGACGAACTCGGCGTGCCATCTTTTCGGAGTATAAGAGGTCGCAATCCGGGGTCCTTTTCATCAACGGCTTCGCGAACACCTTCAGCTTCGGGTGGGATAGTGTAGCTGTCTTCCGGGATAAGATGGTACTGGTCGCAGACGACCTTGAACAACATATACAAACCGTAGGTTGCTTCGACGGACCAGAAGACATCGCGATGCTGAAACCAAGCATGTGCAAAGATTCGATAGACACGCCGAAATATGTTGGTCAGCTGTCGCATGCTTTGAATGACATTGCCTCCCTCTCCGCCCAACGCCAGCCGTGACGGGAAGTGTTTCGGGCTCGTGAGGACGTTCGCCGCCCAATCCAGAGTATGGTTGCAGTAGTCGATGGCACAGCATGATTTGGGCGGCTCATGCACGGCGCAGAGGTATTGCCATTCACTAGCTCTCATCTCCGGGCAGGTCGTGGCCGAACACGGCGGGCTGTCGTTCATGAGGAAGATGGAGACGATGTTCGCCTTCTGCGTGAGAAATCTACACAGTTCGTAGAGCCAGAGATTTCTGTCCACGGACTCGTTGTCATTTATCTGTGGGGGCGTCGCGAGTTGTAGGGCCGTCTCTTTCGTGATGGGGACGGTATGGGTCGAATCGGGCGTATGGCTAAGGTGGGAGTAGAGCGATTTGAGGTGTTCTTGGAGCTGGAATGGCGAGTCCAGCTGACTCAACGGCACAAGTGGAGGCCCCATAGCCATATCTGCAGCTTTTGTCCCCGGTCTTATTCTTCTCGCGGCTCCTTCGTCTGGCTTTGAGGTCGCATCGAGCGAGAGTTCCTTCGTCGGGTCGATCCCGGGGCTCTTAGGGCCGAATTGCACCTCTGGAATGGGAGGGGGAGATGGTAGCCGAGGCGAGCTGGACGGCGACACGCCAGATCTGGAGGGTGTAACTGCTGTCATCGTGCGCGTGGAGGACTTGTATGATCGTGGCCGATATACCTCCTCCTCTGCCTCGACTCCGGCGCTAAACCTCTGAATGCTCACAAGCAGTCCTTAATGGTAGCCCGGTCGGCCCATTCAAAGCCACTGGGTCTTCTTCAGACTGCAGTACCCCTGCTTTTGTGGTTGGGCCGTTTGCGCCTGCAAGCTGTTGTTCGTTGGGGGATGAGTTGCGAGCGACTGCGTGAACCGTGTTTGAGGCCGGTCGCTATCCAGACTCGCTGGAGCCACCCGGTTCCAGATGGTACCCAAGCGCGGATCTGAGGCGATGGATAAGCGACTCACAAGCCTTATAGCTCGACTCTTTCCGTTGTGTGCTATGCTATGCTGCGGGAGCGTCGTGAAGAGCGCAGAAACGAAGCATCGACCACCGTGAAAGAGCGCAAGCAAGCGCGCAATCGCATGCTCGGGAAAGTTGCCTCCTCTCAGCTAACTAACACGCTAAAATGCGGGATCGACAACAAAGTGGAGAACTAAACTGCATCTGGTGCTTCGGCTAAACCTTCCCCATTGGATGGATGATGTCGGAGAGGCGTCGAGGCTGATTCTGCATTGTGAACAAACAGTTCAGATTGTACCCGTATCTCACTTCCACCCACAGCGAAGTGTGGATGATACCAGAGACAACCGGTGTCTAGGTTTCAAAAAACATAAAACCATGGATGATGACGACGATGAAGTCCCCAACCTCATCCAAAGTGGGGAGAACGAAATCAACAAAGCCAATACATACAGCACCGGCACCTCGACTTTGAAGAAGGTACCGATCACGATCGTCACTGGCTATCTCGGGGCCGGCAAAACGACTCTACTGAATTACATCCTGACCGCCGAGCACGGCAAGAAGATTGCTGTGATTCTCAACGAATTCGGCAACACGGCGGACATTGAGAAATCCCTGACCGTCAACCAAGGAGATCAATCGTCAACGGAATGGATCCCCCTCGCGAACGGGTGTATCTGCTGCAGCGTCAAGGACTCCGGCGTGGCGGCGCTGGAGTCGCTCGTCGAGCGGCAGAAGAACTTCGATTACATACTGCTCGAGACCACCGGCGTGGCCGACCCGGGCAACATTGCGCCCATGTTCTGGCTGGACGAGGGTCTGGGGAGCAGTATCTACCTGGACGCGATCGTCACGGTCGTCGATGCCAAGAACATCCTGAGAAGTCTGGACGAGCCTGCTCCCGAGGAGGTCCCGGACGAGGAGGAGAAGAATGCTCAACATCACCATGAGACGCCCCTCCTGACGACCGCCCACCTTCAAATCTCCCATGCCGACACCATCATCCTCAACAAGACGGACCTCGTCACCGATACCGAGCTTGCCGCCGTCCAAGCACGAATATCTTCCATTAACGGCCTCGCACGTATCATCCTGACGAAACATTCCCAAGTCGACAATCTGAGCGGCACGATCCTGGATCTCGACGCTTACTCAACTTTCCCCACTGCGACCTCGAGCGGGACTGCAATGCCCGACTTCGCATCCAAGGGCCACTCCCACCTGGACCCGACTATATCCACGTTGACCATTCCCTTGCCGCCATTCGATCCGCAGAAACTGCCGCTCCTCGTCGGCTGGCTGGAGACCATCCTCTGGGACGCTGAAGAGCGACAGAAAGGCAGAAGTACAAGGTATGAAGTGCATAGGACCAAAGGCTTGGTGAGATGTACAGATGGATCCAGTCGGGTTGTGCAGGGCGTGCGAGAGATCTTCGAACTGATCGAAGTCCCGCCCACTGCGGATGCGGAAAAGGCAGGGGCAGAAGGCAAGATTGTTTTCATCGGGAGGAATGTAGATCTCATCCGGGACATAGAGAATGGAGGGTTTGATCATCATTAATGCATGGTTCATGGCTATCGTAACCTATACGTCGTGAGTTCTGTCTGGCCTCATGTCGGTGGAATAATCGCAGACTTGCATCCCGTCGAAAACTCCGGCTGACAATGTCTGCAACAACAGAAGTGGAACGGTTTCCTGCCCGGACGGACTGCGCTACTTGAGTTCGCCATGCCTGGCTGAGGATTTGACCACCTCTGGGGATCATTGGTTTTGCAACCTTTGGTTTCATATTGGAAATACCATCAGAACACCGCCCATGCACAGTGAAACAAGACCGAAATGCCCATACCAAGGTGCTCGGGTTCGTCCCCAACATGCCCGACAGATATCTGTCTGTCGATTGCAAAGTCGCTATCATGATATCCACAACATCGTGCTTGCATGGCGCTTGAAATTCTCGAAAATACATTCAAATCAGAAAACCAACCAACCAATTCGCTAAGGGGTGGGGGGTCGTCAAACGTTCATGTTTGGTCCAGGTCTGACCACCCACAAGTCGTGAGGACCATGCTGGCGGTCGTCAGTAATGTTGGAAGAGGAAGATAGCGTTTCTCTTGTAGAGGACGTCAGCCGAACTGCCGACTGACGAACGCGGTTCTGGTGGCCTCAACAGGAAACAAAGGTAGGCTAAGTGGTCCAAGTGTGTGTAACCAGGCCGGGAATCCCCCGACCTCGGTGTTGTCTTGACACTTGCGTGGCCACCAAATGCGGCTTGTGACCACGAGCAGAGGAGGGAAGTTCCATGATGCGTGATCCGCAACCCTGCCTGTAAAGACTTTTGTCTCACATGAAAAGCGGTGTCAATGTCCGAAGGACAGCAAGTGCGTCATTGAATCGCACTTGTGCACACTATGTCACTCCCTTCTCCAGTGATGGCTCATGTGGCTTCGCGTCTACGATGTGTTCGCTCTCAGATGTCGATACACAGATTGCGTTGCTTCTCCGCCAGCTCAGTCGTCATCGGAGGAGATTTGCGTTCCGTTGGAGTGAAGTCGATATGACTGGACTTCTCTTCAGCTGAATTCGGTTTCTGCGACAGACTAGGAGTATCAGACTCCAGATTGAGCCTTGTGTCATCCCTGAGCACTGGGTGCTCAGCAGGATGAGGTGAGCCGTCTGCCGTCTGTCCGGGTTGCTGAACAGAAGGAGTCATCGCATCCTCTGTCCGTTGCGGCTCGGCTTTTTCCGAGATAGGTGCCACAAGCTCGACGTCGCTGTTGCCTACGAGGTATCTAAGCGGCTCATCGTAGCCACTGTCCATAAACGGAAGACTCGGGGGGTTGATCATTTCTTTTTCTGGTGGTGGGGTCGCCTTATCCCCAGGCAGGTCCAACCCACAGTTGGGTGTTAGCAGATCTGAGTCGTGATCAGCTGGAGCCTTATCAGTCTGAGGAGTTCTTCGACCGTCGTCGGGCCCTGTAGGATGATAAGACACCCCAATATCATTAACCTCTCTCATCTCGGAGTGCAGATCCCCAGATCCGGGGGTAGCGATCACTGTGAGAAGGTCCTGGCTGTTGCGAGGGGTGCTGTCGGACGTGGCGGCCAGTAGAGAGGGACGCCGGGCTGGTACAGGTGCTGGGTTTGTCAGAGCCTCATCCGCGGCAGCCTCAGCCGTGCGATCTCCATCAGTTGCATCTTCACTGAGAACAGCGCTCTCAGCTTCCGCGCGACGCTCCAGTATTTTCAGTTCCTCTTCACTGAAAGTCTGCCGTGAGATCAGGTACCGATGTCCATCCATCTCGAGCTCATTGAACTCTCGGTCCACGCCCGGCGAGATGGCCACAATGTTGGGTTCGAAATCTTCGGTTGGAGTCGGTCTCTCGTCTTCGGACTCCCAATGGTGCCTCTCATGACTTCCGAGATGTGCATAGTTGATGGGTGGTCTCCTACCTCTGGGGCGATCATATCCTGACAGGTCGCTTTCAAACTCGTAATTGGAGGACTTCGGATACGTAAACGTGTAGTCATCCCGGGAGCTTTCTGGCGAATATGGAATCGCCTCGCTTCCCTGTGGTTTCGAGCTAAGGCGTAAGATATCGTCCCGTTCCACGGCGTCGGCAGGGTCAATGTACTTCTTCATCGTGCGCACTTTCAAGGCTGGTCGTTGTTGTGGCCGGATATCGTCACATGACATGGAGGTTGCTTCTGGGAACAGGTCAATCAGTTCCTTGGCAGACAATCGATCTCGTGGGCGCGGAGACAAGCAGATCCTGACAATATCTTGGTACCATTCAGGCACCTCCGAAGGGAATTCATCGATGCTTAGTGGTGGCACGTGTCGCTCAGGCTCATCGTCATCCATGGCCAGCGCCCACAGAGTCATGCCCAGTTGATAGATGTCCGATTTTTCGCCAATGTACATGGAGATCCGTTGATTGCTCGCAATCTTGGCTGCGATCTCCGGAGGCTCCCAGCCAACAGGGCATCCGCGCCGGTTGATGTCGATGATCTTTGCGTTTCCGTCAGCGTCAACCACGATGTTGGATAACGTGAAATCTCCCTGAACATAGCCCTCTTCATGGATCTCACTAAGCCCTCGCACCGCCTGCTCAGCCCATCTGCACCGATCTTCCCACGCAATGGAACCTCTGTGATCGTACAAGAGATCAACGATCGCACCCTTGTCTGCGTAGCTGATGAGCAAGCCTTTGACTAACGATCCGGTGTCATCAAACACAACGGCTTCAAGTTTGATAACATGCGCCGAGTCGTGAAGGGCATGGAGGGCATTGATCTCATACAAGAACTCATCAACCGTGTCCGGGCCAGGGATCTCTTTCTTGATATACGTTCTGCCCTTGTATTGCACCTTGTAGACAAAGCCGGAGAGGTGTGAGTCGAAGACGAGCTCGTCCTCGCGGACTTTCATGGGTCTGAACGTCTCATCGTTGAAAATATGTGACACGGTCGTTTTCGGTGGATAAGGGATGATCTCGTTGACATCTTCCGTCACATGAACGTGCAATCGGCCATCGGTTGTTTCCAACTTGAGATTGGTGACGGTGTCGTAGAACTGAATTTCAGGAAGAGAATCACGTATTGACTCGTAAATTTGCATGCTCTTGTCGCGTTGGAACTGGAGTTCCTTCAGGTCCATCTCCAAGGAGCCCGGCTCGGCATTGCGATAGTCACATGAAATGGTCACCCGACGCCAAAAGCTGGGAGTCTGCGCATAAGTGACGAAGAATTTCTCGCGGTCGGACTTGTCTCTAAAGTGCATGCTCAGGTTGAGGATCCATCGATGATCGAGCTCGTCCCTTAGTTCGGCCTTGTCATCGGCTAGAGGCATCTGTGGATAATGCGAATCATCAGAGGACGTCCTAGAAGGCGGGCGCGGCGGTCGGTAGTCGTCTTGTGGCCAGTGGTCCTCAGTCGTGGCGGGCTGGGTCGGGTCCAGACTTGGTGGGAGGTCGACATAGACGTCGCCACCGCCGACATCCGCCCTGGCGGTAATAGCCACAGCGGGTGCAGATGTTCGAGCAGGGTCCCAATTGGGTGGCGACGAGGTGGCTCGCCGTCTAGGTAAGCTTATCGAAGCATGCCGCGTCGACGAGACGGCCCTTCTCTCCGCGTGGCCAGGCTCGATGGGAAGCAGCCGGTCTCGTCGCTCCGAGTTCTGACGACGGAATGTTGCTTGCCGGGGGAGCCCAACAGCCAGCGGCCTCGTTGCGGATTCGTTTTTATTGGAATCTCGCCTGTCAGCCCAGTGCCGGGGCCACTGCTCATCATCCGAGCACTCGATGGGACTCTGTGTCGCCTCATCCTTGGCGAAGAAATGTTGCAGTTTCTGCCACATTCCAAATCGAAGCGACTGTCGGGAATGTTGCTGATGCGGCTCGGATTCGACTGGTCTCAATGCATTGGGTTCGGCATGGTGAGGTCGAATACCCATTATTGCGGAGGTCGCCTTGGTCTGATACGAGTGAGGGGCAGTCGGCAGTCCTCCACCACGATCGAGTCAGCAACCTCCGCTTGGTTCGGGCTACACAACAGCCAGAGTATTGCGACGATGGTGACAGGACATTGAGCGTGTGGTGCGTGACGGTGATACAGAAGGATGGAGAAGGTTTTGGTGGGATTCGGATGTCCCAGAGATATTATTGGTGACTGGCCATCGACTGGGTGAAGGACAAGACGTCGGAGAATCGGAGCTGGAAGAACCTGGAGGCGGTGAGGACACGACAAGCCACTGATGCCACACAATCACACAAGGTCTTGGAAATATCGCACAAGACTGCGGCCACGAAGGATAATGTCTTGAAAAGAGCTGTCCGGATCCTCCACCTGCGCGAGTGACAGACGCACACAAATGCAGGACGAGGTCCGGGTTTTGTTGTGTTCGCAGCCAATACTCGACCCAGGTCAATGGTCTCGCTCGGGTCGTCGAGGGCAGCAGCTGGTGATCAGTGGTCGTCTGACCCACGGCCTTGTCTGTGAGGCCGGGCTGGTAATTGAGGGCGATGCAAGGGCGCTGAGGTGGATTTGATGGATATATGGTGGTTTCGAAAGAGTGGTTCAAGCTCCTTCACCGCTCGGACAAGGCTCTTCAGGCAGCGAGGTCTGAAACCGGCGACGGATGCACGAGGCAGGAGGCAGGAGGCGCAGGCGACGGAGACTGGGAGACACCAGGCTTGTGGGCAGGTGCAAAACTTGCTCGCTCTCGTCGGGCGCGATATGAAGCTTTAGCTCAAACGTATATTGCGAGCACTGAAAGGCGCGCACAGGGTATTTCTTCGACCGTGCCTTCACCAGCTTCCAACCAAGCCCGACATCGTGGTCAGTTGTGGTGAGTTGGGGCTTGCGCCGTGGGGCTGGGTGACGGGGGCCGCCCGCGACAGTGCAAACTCAACCGCCAACGTGGATGTTTTGCGAGCGTGAAGCAGCCAATAAGGCAAGCAGGGGCGCTGCTAATAGGCGGCTGCTTCCCTATATCCCGCGTGCCCCGTTCGCCCCGAAGACGCAGAGCTTAGCTAGAACGGCATCTGCCCAAACATCGCTTGAGGCCCAGTAGTTAGGCCGCAACTTGTCCGATTTGGACCTCCGACCGGGCCTGCAGCCAGCTCACTTGTGCGCGGAATCCTTCGAGTGCATCAATTTTCCTTGGGATATGGGTTCCAGCAGGCGAGCGGCACTGCGGCATGCAGGCATGGGCTGCAAGGCAGACACTCGGTAGTCAGAGCAGTCGACGACCACATGGGCAGCGGTGGCCCCTAATTACACAGTATAGGGACTTGAGACTCAAGCAGCAATCCCCAGCCAGCTCAGCCCGGGTTCACTATTGATCCTTTCCGCTCAGCTGCTCCAGCCCGGAGGCGGATCGCAGCTACAGTGTATACAGGACAGTACAGCACTCTGAACACGTTCTCATTGCCGAACCTCAGCAGAGAGCTTGTTCACGCTTGGACTCCCCAATCTCTCGGCGTCGTCTCTCGCAGCAGTTGATGTCTGAATCAGCCACTGCAGACCCGCGCACAGACACGAGAGCGACAAACGATATGTGCAGTGCTGCATGAACATGTCTGCAGCGGCCAGTCCTTGCTGACGGTTCGAAATCCTGCCACTACTGCACTTCTGCAGCAGCCTCCCAGCGCGTGCATCTCGACCAGTCATCTATTTTCCTGCAAGCTCGGCTACGTCCATTCGTTGCCTCGAGGTTGGGCAGCGAATATTCCAGACAGCCTGGATTTCCATTGGCGCTGGGGTTCCTATATCGCGCTCCGACATGACTATTTCCAAACACAATTCCACCTCGCCGCCTCCATCAGCAGCACTCATCGGAGATGACATCGGAGCCATGAGATCATAGTCTGTCCATGCTCACATCTTGACCACTTCTCCGCAGGACCCAACGTTGACGTGGCAAGTCATGGTCGATGCGCCCCCTGCGTAACGGATTTTGAACTCGGGCTCCCGCGTGAGCTTAAACATCGTCAGTGTGATCTCTTTTTACGTCTCCCGTCCCAGAAGGAAATTACTATATGTCTGAGGTTGAGGTCACCAGACTATGACGGACAAGGCGCGTTGGGTCGAATTCTGGTCGGCCGCAGCCTTGTCGTTCACCGCTTATTGCCCATTACCTATTCCCCAGCATATTCGTCGACGAAAATTAATCAGAGCACCAATGTCCCGATCGAACCCGTATCGCCGGGGTTGTTGTTACCGGCAAAGCTGACATGAGGCCCTCGAGCATCACACGATTCCTGCCTCCGCTCCCGAATGGAGTGTTGCAGATCGGTCCAAATCAGCTGCTAAATTAAACCGGCAGTGCAACACCGACAACTGTTTCTCTACTCCACTTGACCACTTTGTTTTGGGCCAGCCGATGATGTTGCCTGGAGACCGGGTACGTTGTGGCCCTTCATCTCGTTCCACCGCCCGAGCGCGAGCAGGAAAGATCACGCTACTGTGTCATGGCTCAAACATGGATCTAGCTTGCTCATGTGTCAGAGCCTGAGTTGTCGAAGCATGAAACCTGCGCTTCTTGCAAGGATGGGCTCGATATCTCGGGGCGGGAGGACTTCTTTACCTGTCAGATCAAGATATCCCCGTGATCAACAGTTTCTGCAGGGCGGTTCAGGAAGGGCTTTTCCAGCAACGCTTCCTGCACTTGCTCGCCTCGACGGCTTCTCTGATGGCTGACCTTCACCGCCACTCTGTCTGCATCACCTGCATGAAGTCAGACAGCTCATAAGATGGTGACGCATTGAAAACCCAGAGCTTCGAGCCAGAATTGATACACTTGCAAGGTGAGATCGGAATTCCATTCTCATCCTCTTGGGCGAGCACATTCTTCACTTTGCAGCCATTTTCCGACCGATATTGCCGCCCCAGTTCCGCTGCATTATGTTCTGTATGCCCTTTGAGGATCGCTTCCCTCTCTCCAGGGGGTACCAGTTGCAGAAAATGGCCCAGAACAGCTCACAGCGGAGAGATATGGTCAAATGTCCATGCAAAATCATCCCTTGGGATTTTTTCGTGGGTGCAAGCATCCAGAACTCTTGAAATTTCGCACTACATTTTGCTCGTCTTTTAAGACACGAGAGTGTCATTTTTCAATGCCAGTCAGCATATCCTGCAGTTAATCCGGGGATGGCTGGGTTCTGACTGCTGCCCTTGACAACTCGAGTCGAGCTTGGACTCCTCTCCCTGCATTGTCCTCGACGGCTTGGATTTCATGGCTTTGTCTTGCTCAATCACCAGGTTTGAGCGCAGGCTAGAAATATGCCAACCGTGCTCCCCAGCACAGTGTAGCGCATGTTTGTTCCGCAAACGTGGGGCAAGCGAAAAGAGACTCAAGAGGCATTCTTCACCGGGGCGAGATTGTGTATCCCGTGGTAGGAGCGCGAGGCGCACCCGGGCGAATGACTTGTCAAGTCAGGCTCTCAAGATGGACACACATGACTTTGGAAATTCCGGTCCCGTGGCTGGCATCAACCGGTATATCGTTACTTCGAGCCGCACTTCTACTTCTCGCCAGCATAATATACTTGGGCAAAAGCACAGCACGTTCAGTTGACGTGGCTGTGGCCTCGTCCAACGGGGCCAACCCACCGTGGTGAAGCATAATATACAGTAAAGTCCCATCCGTGATTTTGTAACCCATATCCTGCCCGTGTCCCAAAGTGCATAGCCCATAGTCCATTCCCCCAATTCATCACATGTCTCGAAGTCCCTCACATTACGGCCTGAATCTCAGCCTGAATCCGACCTCGCCCCCGGGCCCGTCAACCCTCCTTTGCTCCCTGCCGTTGCCTCCCATCCAGTATCCCGAGCCATCACCCTCGGACCCCTCCGTTCTCACTTGGCGAGAACTCCCATTCTGCTGTACCACGTAGATAAACCTCGCGATCGTATCGGCTTCACCTCCAATCAGCTGTTGGGCGTTGAAGTGTTTGCGCACAGCAGCCGCCAGATTCGAAACCGGTTGATTGGGGCCGAGGTAAGTCCAAGGGCCCGAGGAGACGGATGACGCATCCCGTTCAGAGGCCGGGTGACCGGGGTCAGGCGGTTCGATAGATTGGGCTATTGCCAACGAGGTGTTCGAAGACCCGTCTGTCATGGACGTGTCTTTCAACTTGCCTTTCTCTTTGGACTTGCTACCGTGAGTCTTTCCGGTCCCGTTCGTCTGTTGCTGCTGCTGCTGCTGCTGCTGCGTCTGGCGAGCTCTGCGCCGTTGAAGGTGCTGTTCGTGCAGCTTGCGTCTGTAATAAACTACCGAGGGGGCGCGCTGTCCAACGTCAGATGACTTGTAGGCTAGCTCGGCGTGAGGTTGGTTGAACGCGGCGGGGACGGGGAGGCGGTGGGCGATGCGGTACGTGCGCAGGACGGCGACTGGCATTGTATCCCATTCAGTCTTTTTCCGATGGGCAAATTGCTCAAAATTAGCCTCAACTCGCGCCTAGCTTTCACATGATCGGAGGGGATTGCATTGCATTGCTTTGCATTTTGCCCGACGTACCCGAGGCAGACTTGGATCTTTGTCGGCCTCCACTGCTGGTGGTGCGGCTGCGGGAGCAGCAGTAGAGCCATTCCCGGTCACAGTGGCTTTGGATCCAACGCTGGCACCGTTGTGTCCTCCCGGAACCGACTTCTTCCCTTTCGACACGCCCGATCCACTGGTGGGACCAAGTGCAGACTTCTCTTTCTGGTTTGTGATGGTGCTTGAAGTCTCCGATCTCGAGTCGTCGACGTTACGTGCTCGGGCAGGAGGCATCGTGGGTTCGTGCGGGAGGCTCTCAGGGGCGTAGCTTGTTCAAAGCCGCAATGTCGTAAGCCTGCAGGGATTGAAGGGGAGCACATGCAAGTCAAACTGGATTGGCATTGAGAAAGCACCTCGAACGACCACGCCGGCGTCGTCGTCGTCGTCGTCGTCGAGTGTGCGCAGCTTTTGGCGAGCCTCCGCTCGTCAAGTCCGGCTCAGGGACGCGACAGAAAAACTGATGGCTACGTCATCGGGTCCCGAAGGAGCCCTAAACTCAAAACAGACAAGCGTCGTGGGCCGGCATCTCGGGCCCCGAGGGTAAAGCCACGTGACCACGAAGCCTTGCAGACAGACGCGGTCCGGTAGAAAAATTCTCTGCGTTTTGTGCAAGGCCTGTTCCTGCATGTCGACGGGAGATCGCATCTTGCAGATAGATGGTGGTGGCAAATTCTGCGCCGGCTTTGTACCTGCTACATATCTTGGATGTATACGGTCGTCATATGGGCAAAATGCGTACGCACTCACTGATGATGTGCCCAAGTCCCTGCACCTTTTCCAAGTGATGTGGGCCAGCTAGAACACGAGGGGTACACCTAGTAATGTACCATGGTAGCGAGCGAGAGATATAGAGAGAGAGAAGCGTTTGAAGATGATGGATGAGTGCGGATTGAAACGCTGGGGCATAGTCTGGTAGGGAGCATGTCGGATACACCATCACTGGTCGATCATAATCACCTACCCCCCTCCCATACACCATGCTGGCCGGGTATATGCTCTGAGCTCAGAGATGAGAATGAAAGTCAGCTGTCGAACAGGCTGCACATCCCAATTCATCGGCTGGGTCAAGTATTCTGGCCAAAGTCCTTTTACTCCAAACGCAATTCCGCGCCAGAAGCACTGAAAAAAGACCTGGGTGGGACTCCAGCTCATGTCAGTCTGCGGCATAATTCGACCCTGGGGTTCCGATCGCGTCTCTCTGGCTATGCATAGGAGAGGGATGGTTTCCTTTTTTTAGCCGCATGCTGAGGCACATCACGGTATCTGGTGTCTTCATGCACACAGGTCCGGGAGTACTGGGTAGGCGTTTGTGTGAACAGCAATGCTGCTCACTCCCGCAGAAGATCGCGGTTTCATTTTCATGCCAGACCAGCGTTTAAAGGCCCTATGCGAAGTATCTGCCATTCGTCCTCGGTATCCCTAAGGTTGAGCCCGACGTAGCTCAAACCTTGAGCTGATATCCATCGCGGTTGGAGGAAAATACCTCAGTTCCAGCATTTGCTGGAGACGGCCGCATCATGGAGATCGCAAAATTATGAGCGGTCTCGGATCCGGAGCGTTAGGCCAGGACCGCGCGCGGAATTGACACAGCTCCCGCCGCGATTTCGGTTCCACGGCTGCGAAATTCCTGACCGCGATTTTCGGGACTTCAGGGTTTCTGGTTGAGGATTGTATCTTTCGTCAAGTTGGAGTGCTTGTGGTGGAACTGGGAATTCACGGGCCACGAGGAACATGTGTGCTCGAGTATCTTCGACGCCAAATGGTCTCGCAACACGGGGCCCCATTGTAAGTAGTGTCCAAGTCCGCTTACTCGGTACTGACGGTCCAATTTCCTGTCCACAGAACTCCGAAGAAAGGCCGCCACATGCAATGAGAATTTCTTTCCACTCAAATTCTTTGCCTTCTTTGCCTTGTACGATATCACTTAACTCCGTGAGATGCACATGTTTTCACATGGCGCTACAGCTTCAGGATTTCGTCACTTGGATGTCGTCGGATCCTAGGGCCCTCCACATGGGAGCAGGGTTGTGGTGTGGCCAGCGCTGCGGTAACAGTGACATGTGGAGGAAGTACCAATTTTGGACGTGTGCGTCAATTACCCGAGGGAATTTTTTTGTTGGGTTCGAAATCTTAAACCATGTTGCGCTGACGATGCTTCCTTTGGGAGCTCTGACTGCGGCGCCTGGAGCCGTGAGTAATATGGTTCAGTCTGACGGAACTAACCCATTGAATGGAGGTCAAGGAGCGATAATGCACATGCACTCAAGACCCGATGATGAGGTTCTCGTAAATGATATCCGAACTCGACTTGGCGTGCGTGAGGGGCGATATCGGACAATCGACCGGAATATGCTTCCCTGCTATCATTTCATACACTCCTCGCCGTGGCATGTGATACTTATCCCGGTATAGTAGTCTGGATGCGTAGCAAGTCAAGTTGAATCAGTCTCAAAAGTATTCCCTCCACGACAGTGTGTGCGGAATGTAGCACACCCCGACAACTCTTGACATTGACCAACATGAGGCATATATGTCCTCGACGCATGCAGCGTCAGTAAAAGCGGTACGGTCCGAAAACGACGTATGGCACCAATCTTGCCTCACCCGTGGGTATGATCCCTTGCTGCAGTCGTGGATTTCCTCGGTGCTTTGGTGGAGATTAGAGTGCCTCGCAGATGCAGGCAGCACGAGCAACGAAGCAACTGTGGTCCAAATTCTGTCATGGTCGTCTAGGCAGTCAAGCGGACCATCTTGACCTGATGAGCCTGAAAACAGTGAAATGAGCCCGACTGTAAGACGAGAGCAAGCAGATTATGAGGAAACGACAAAGCTGCCACCCCACAAATGACCCGTTCAGAGCGTGGTAACAGTCAGACTTAACCCAGCTCCCGAGATACGAAAGCAACACGGCTGAGTACGAAACTCAGCTATAGGCTATATCGAACCGCATCGGGATCAAACGGGCGGGATGCAGCTTAGCGCGGATCGTTCTCTTCGTCACTGAATCGACATCGAGCGATGTTGGGTGCGATGAGCAAAGACGAAAGCTGGCGATCCTCCGGAGCAGGTCTGATGGATTGGGGTTCGTGCCTCTGCGAGGGCGAGTTCTCTAGTGCCGTGGAATGATTGACGCCACAGCCTTCCAGATAACAACGGCGAAATGCCGCCCCCGAACGATAGCCTTGCTCAATTGTGGCATGCGCGTGGGGAAGTGATCCCTATCCCTGAGTTCTCGACCCAGCATCTGGTCGTTGCTCTCCGTCCAACTCGTGCGCATGGGCTGCATGATGTCTTCGTCCTCGCAAACTCCAAAACTTACTCCCGAGGTCTATCCAGTGTCCAGCTCGTGCAATCTTCCCTCGGATTCATAAACCCTGAGCGAGGAATTCCAGATTAATTAATGGGATCAAGGTTACTTGGTGTTATCCCGAACAGTGTGGGGATGTGGGAGAAGGCCGTGTCTAGACCGGCACATGCTGAGATTCCCGGGCTCTCATCAAATCAGCAAAGCACGAGGATCGATAGATACCGCCCGGACAAAGCGGTACGTACCCCGTTTTGTGGTGGCGCTGGACTCCACGGGATGGAATAGCATTACACCGTTGATCAGATGGCCGTACCATGTAGCATTCTTGCCTCTTCTCGTCCAGCAGGCCATAAGACGCAAGATCTAGACTGCGCTGGCGTCTCGAAGAAAGAAAACGGGCATCAGCGCTGCCTAGGGTTTCGATAATTCACCTTGTGGAAAGGCGGCTTCTCAGGATGCAAATTAACCGCCTCAACTCCCTCGCACAGCGTGTTTTGGCCGCATCCGCCCTCGGTGGATACTGTTGAAGTCATGATCAGCAATGATCGCAGCTTGAAGATACGACGCAAACCGTGATATCCCTTGCTGCACTCCTCTGTACTGAGTACTGAGTGTTCCTTCTTCGGCGTGCGACATTAAAGTGTGTGCATGTGGTGCATGTGCCAATGCCACATTACCCAGGAGGCGGTGGTGCCTGGCTGTCTCGGGGTGATGAGTCCCGAGATCACGCCCCGCCAGTCTCCAGGCCGTAGCCACAGTTCCCTTGGCGGCCTGAACCTCCAATCTGACTCGTACAGTAAAGTAACTTGGCAGCCATTCCAGCTGGCCCCCTCAGCCTCTCAGCCCTGGGGAGCACGGGGAGCAAGACAATGCCCCCTTGCAGCGAACCTCCGAAGCATCAGCCCGAGACGCTGCGTGTGTCCACAAGTGGCCCTCATACGCGGATAGCCTTCCCTTGGGCCCGGAAGAAGTAATATCTCTCATACTTCACGCGAAACTACGATGGAAAACTTCTTTCAAGGTCGCCGTGTTGAAACTACTGTGCATGTGCGAGACGATGAACCATCTGGTCAAGCCACAGTCCCCCAGAAGGGCTTTGCCTGATTCATGGCGTCGCTAACCGTAAACTCCTTCTGGGGCGTTCTGATGCGTTCTGTGGGATCGCCGGTAATAGCCTAGCAGAGAACTCCGGGAAGGCCCCTCAACGCTGATGGCGCCATGCAAGGCAATCTTGGGCTTCCGTGTCAGCAGTCTCGCTGTTCCCACGACTCTTCACCAAGCTGCAGCATCATTGCTCGATGATGACTGCACTGAGGTGTGTGTCCGTGCCGCGGAATGACAGAGGAGGGGAGAGTGTCGTGTTCCGGCGAGACTGGTAGGAGGGCAGAAACATGTGCAGTCATTCTCAAGACGGTGCTCAAAATTATGCCTGCAAGTGTCAAAGGCTACGGGCGAGTCTCGCAGTCATCGGGCAACACACCGCGATAATACTGTATAGGTACCCTGACGGGTTCCGAGTTTTTATCGAGCGATTAACTAGGTACCACTAATTATTTTGTCAGACAGACCAAGCCGCGGAGGCGACTTTGTCACTTTGCTGCCAGTGCCGTGCCGAAGGATACATCCATCTCCTCTCGTGGGTCTCGCCAGAATTTTTCGTTTCCCCATGAATTTCCCTCCGAATACTGTGTCCTGGAAGTAGTCGTAGCATGTGGCCGTGTGAACCACTTTCACCCGCCTAAGCGTAGTTGCAAGCACCACCTTAAGTGGTCCTGCGTTGTCTGAAGCGGCTCCAGGTCTATCCACGTCACATCTCTGACACGGCTTCAAGGGCAAGCATATCTACGGCAGAGTATATCTCGACCGGGAAGTGACTACATACTAATCGAGCAACCCGCGGCAGCACGACCATCAGCCCGAATTCCGA